TAGAGATGCATGGTGCAAAAGGGTTTTCATGGGCTCGATGCGATGAAACACAACAATGGATCTTGCAATTTGTATTAAAATGCTATCACCTCAGCTTTCTCAGGCCTTCCCCATTCCACATACGAATGACATGAAATTGCTAATAAGGGAAAGGGAAGGACGGCACTAACATGATGGTCAAAAGGGGAGGGTGCATTTGTACATTGTTAATTTACATGATGCTTGTTGCATCATGAATCGGACTCTTGTGTACCGTACCAAATAAAATTAAAGCCCTGGATAAAATTTTGATTTAAATACATGTACCAAACGCCCAACTTTAACATTTCATCAAGGACAAAAGGAAGATGACGCATTTATTCGTTAACTGGATTGCTTTTATACTAAACGACTAAAGTAAACGTATATGGATTCTGATGCAAAATTGATATACCATTCCTGAGTGGGCATCTAGTTTTAGTTAATTACATGATAAAAACACACAGACACACACACACTCAAGCACTGTAAGACACCCTAGTGTGTAGTTTATGATGCCAAACTAGTGCAAACTTTTGCTCTAAGTGGGCTGACTTTTGCGATGCTGTCGACATTAGCTTTTTGTACTTGCGAAAAAGGAGTGATCACAAGCGTTCTCGCTTATGATCACCAAAGGTTATTAAGCTTATTCATGTGAGATCAATAGTATTTCTAATTCGTGGGATGAGCTTTAGGACCACATGAACTTGTTCGAGCTCCAACGTCTGATACCTGAGTTAGCACTTGGGATCCTCGGTGACATGTTTTTCTATGTCAATTCAATGCCACCTATAGTATTGCGCCAAGTGTTCCGTTATTATTTACACTTTAATTTTCTAATAATTCAACTTGGTTTGGTTTAACACAAGTAAAAATAATAACAGGACACTTGGCACAATATTATAGGTGGCATTGAGTTAGCATAGAAAACATGTCACCGAGAATCTCAAGTGCTGAGTTAGGTGTTCTGACATGGCACAATTGGTTGGTTTTTTGGGTGTATGCACCGTTCACTATCTTTTTTCTAAGTAAGCACCTTTCACTCTCATAAACCCTTTTAGCAATTATGATAGCTATTTTAATCCCATGTTTGGTACATTAGCTAAGCGAGCTTGCTATTATTATCCAAAGAGAGAAAAAAAAAGAAGAAAACTTGTCATAATCGTATTGCGAGTCTGACCATGTTAGCTGGTTTTCATAGAGACAGAGGCCGAACTTAAAAACTTATTTTACCCGTAACATCCAGCCAACTGTGTATTAACTCTAAAAATCATTTAATTTGAATCATTTGGCACCGCTTTCATTCTGGTTCGTTTCCTAATTAAGCCCTAGTTTAATTATTGCTTTTTTTAAAATTATATATATATATATATATTTTTTATTCCTAATACGCTAAAAATCTACAACATGCGCCTTTTTTTAACAAGAAATATTCTTTGCGAGACAAAAATTTCCCCAAATGAAAAACTTTTTTAGGTCAACTAAATGAATGGATTACCCCAATTGTCCATTCAAAGTAATAATTAAAAGGCATTAGGTTGATGACGGAATATATCAGGAAGGATTAGTTTGCTTACTCAGAGCCTGGAGCTGGAGATGTGGATATTATAGTATTAGTACCGTTTAACTTGATATCCATTACATACCATTTGCTCTCGTCATCTTCAACAAAATACGACTAGGTATTTTGGACTGTGTCCCAAACACGGTTTCTTGTGGACATGCAAGAAAATATGAAGTCATCGATCCCTTCTAAAACAAACATAGAAAGATGTGAAGGCAGTAGATATCCACTAGAACACCCCTAGTGACGCAAAGATGAATCCAAGTTTTCTTGAGAGTGACCATACTGATAGTAGGCAAGAACTTTCATCAGAGATCATTAAAAATCTGCCACTACATTGTTTTTAATGTTTTGAAGGACTGCTGAGGTATGTTGTCACTCATAGTCATCAGTTATATATGTCTGCTTCATGCATTGAAAACCCGGGTAGCTTTTCTCTTCTTCTTCTTCTTTTTTTTTTTTTTTTTTTTTTTTTGTCAAGGAGAAATTCCAAACCTTACAAAAGAGAAGAGGGACAAAACAAAAAACAAAAAAAAAACTTACCTAAATAACTTTGGTGATTAGGAGCCAGGGTGGCTTTCCTAATCACTAGGATTCAAACTTTCTTTGCACGATCACACGCCTAAATTAATTCGCTTCCCACTTAAATATACAGGGCGTTTGATTTGTAAACCTTTTTTTTTTTTTATGTACTAAATGAATTTATTTGGTACGAAGCCAGACTATGGTGATGGAGAATTTTTGTCTCCGTAAAAAGGTGTGATCCTCACATTTCTATTTTCTCCAATGGCCTAAGTTCCATCCTACTCACCATTTCTCTACTTGGAAACTGCTAACATTAATGCTCATTGGCATCTGAATTGGCTTTTGATGAATAAGAAACACTAAGCACTTTAATTGTTCATCTAGGGTAGGTAATATATATGCAGTCTAGTATTCACATGGCTTAGATGAAAGTGGTGTAGCCGAACGCGGGGCTTCTTGATAAAAGTTATGATGCATTGATGAGTTTGAGAGAGGAAAAGGTTGGAAGGTCGATTTGATGGGGTGAACACCTAGCCGACAAGCATAAAAAGTTTGTGCTAGTGGAAGATGATTTCATCATTCTTGATTGATTTTAAAGGGCTTGTATGTTGTTGTATGAAGAAGACCTTCCTGCAAATTGCCTTGTGTGTCCGTACGTTTATTAGTGCGCTTTCAAAGCTAATTTTGGAGATCAAGAATCCCATTCTGACTGGGAATGCAGTCGAGTTAACGTTGAACTCAAATAGTAGACTAACTTGAGTTAAAAAACTTAGGTTCGAACTAAAACTTTGAACTCGTTTGACTCTTGAAAGTTCAAGTTTGAGTTTTGAGTTTGTTTTACTTGAACTCGTATAAAATTGAGCTTAATTTGAGTTTGATAAATATAAATTTTAAACAAAGGACAAAATAGAGATTTACACTAATAAATATATATGTATGTGTGTGTACATGGAACTTGTTTGAGTTAATTAACCTCGACAAGTTTTCACATATTATGCTCAATTCAAGCTCATTAACTAGCTCGAACTGTTTAAACTCGAGTTTGAACTTGATCAACGCAAGTTCGAGTTCAAGTTTTAACTGAGCAAACTCGCAATTGCTCAATGAAACTTGACTCATCTAATTCTGACTAGGAAAACGTAGGTTTATTCATTGCTGAGTACCGGCTGATTGAAGGTTTCCTCCATCGTTGGAAGCTTGTTTGTTAAAGAAGAATACAAGAACTAAAGTAAACAATTGTCAAAAGAAGTAAAAAGAAAATTCCTTGCGATTTAGAAACAAGCATGGTAGTTTATGGCTGTGCCAGGCACAAGAAAAGGCTTTCTTTTTTTTTTTTAAAAAAAAAATAAAGGCATAAAAAAAAGGTTGAGGTAGGATTAATTCGACAGTAGATAAGGTATCCCTCTTCATAGGCAGAAATCATAAAACCACAACCTGCCGGATGTTTTCTTTATATAAAGAAGTTAGTTGCTGTGGAAAACCCTCAAGTCTTATGCGACTGTGACATTTAAAATTATATATATATATATTTATAAAATATTCATATACACAAAAGACCAACCATTCAAACGCTTAATTTTTAATTTGGAAAGAGGGCTGATTGTCACTTTCATGGGGAATAATTGATGTCATTTATATCCCTACACCGATGACGAATATACCTAACAAAAGTTGGGAAAACACTTTGGACATGATTTAGAAATTTTTTTTTTGTTACCACAAATAAAAGGTGCGGTTTAATTAGCATCGGTTCATATATCTATCGAAAACTTGAGATGTTTTAGAGTAAATATATAACAAGGAAAAGCTCGATCAGTTTCATGGATTAAGAGCTCAAGGACCATTTCTTGTACACTACAATATGGTGTGGTCTCTGATTCATGAACCATTGTTCAGACCCACTTTTGGTGAATCAACTGCACAACAAATGTATACCCATTCCTTCTTATTGTAACATCCATCTTTCGGATTCAATTTCAATATTTCATGGTGCTACTTCCAAAAGCTGTCAAAATTCAGCGGAAATGGTTGGGTATTAGAGTCAATATATGTGCTCAATCAAGGCTATGCAGATCGAGGACATGGTGCAGCACTAGTTTGATGATGGAAATTTCAAAACATTAGATGTTCCTCTTTCTTTCTGAATGTTATCAAACACGGGTTTTGACTCTAAACGCCATATATATGATTCATCCATTAAAATATGTGTTGTTCTCCCTTTCAAACGATCGAAGTCAAAATGGGAGAGAAGAAGTCGTTGTCGAGCAATATTTGCAAGGATCAAAAACCTCTCGTTTCCGGGGCCATTTGTTGGTTTCAATTGGGAAGCAGAACAAGAGGAAAAGTGCGTATTACTATTAGTCCCTCTATCACGAATCCACCTTTGTCTGTCTTTGACAATTTACTGTGAGGCATAAAAAAAAAAATTTTTAATTTTTTTTTTTGCACGAGCGAAACTTATTAGTACTAGTATAAATCGCCCCAAAAAAAAAAAAAAAGATTGTTTTTAATTCCAATCAACTTATCTATGTGCTTAAATCTGAACCAGTTACACAATTTCTGACCCTCAATTCTTCCACAATAGCAATCCATTGGACCAATCTTGAAAATCCCGGCTGGCCCCTCTATAGGACGGTACAAACACAAGGACATAACTTTTGTCAATTTTCTATCCACATGAGGCAGTCAGTGGCACCGTGCTGGTTCTCAGGTTTTAATACTTCCTTGTTAAATAGGAAAAATAGTACCTAGGCTAGAATATTTTCTTTCATCGCAAATTAAAATTTGTTTATTCTCTTTTTGTTGTTTGTGGTAGACCAACAGTTATGCAATTCAAGTGGTGCAAAAAAAGGCCCTCCACCCCCCCGCCTCCCCCTGCAAAAAAAAAAAAACACACACACACACGCACGCACGCACTACACCTTTGGCACTTTTTAGCACTACAAATTCGCATCCCACCCCTCGCTTACCCTTCATTCAACATCAACTTGTTTCTCTCCTCTCCTCTTCTTTGCTTGTTAGCTGCTTCCTCTCAGCTGCCCCTCACCTCCTGCTATATACCTTTCTTCAACACTGCTCAAAATCCTCTGATCAACTTTGCTCCTCAATTTCCTCCCTATCTAATTAAGGACATTTGTTTTTTTCACCTATTTGCGACCCTTTTGGCCTGTCATCATGACCACCATATTACAGTCTTGTCTTGAGACGCAGTTCTGTGAAACAGCAACTGTCATGCTCAAAGTTGCTCCCTCCAAAACCTTGGAGTCGAGCAGAAGTAGTCCCTGCAACCGTCCAACGGAGGTCAACAGTACGGCCACGCCAAACATGTCCTCCAACCATGATTCACGAGGTTGGAGTTTCCTACAGTTTCTCGACAATGTTTCTTCAGCTCCCAAAGAAACAATGGAGAAAGAAAATGTGTACGTCCATCCTTTGACGAAGCAATATTCATCCTCAAGACTGAGCGAAAAAAGCTTGGAATTATGCACTGAAAATTTGGGGAGTGAGACGGGCAGTGATATCATGGATATCAGCATTTTGTCACTGTCTTCATCCAATTCTCCAACGAGCTCTGAAGATTCTTGGATAAAACAAGAAGGAAAGCTGCCTCAAGAAGCGGAAACATCATCGAAGTGTAAGGTGAATAATTCTCGAAATTTTCCACCTCCCTTGACTACAATAAGTGGTTCAAATTCACTCCAATTTAGACCCCACCGGGAAGATGGAAGATTAGTTATTCACGCCGTCGAGGCCCCATTGAAACATAACTATTTTCAAGCCGAACGAAGCCATGGCCGCCTTAGGCTATCTTTTTTGATAGATCATGCTACTAAGTTTGCCTCGCAATTGACTCGAATGGAAGAAGATGAAGTCGATGTTAGTGACGACGAAGATGAAGATTGCTATCAACTAGAGGAAGAAGAAGATGACGAAGAAGGATGCAATATTTTTGATGTTGATGTTGAAACGGGAAGGGAAAAATTTCACAGGCTAATGACTACTAGATGCAACGAAGGTGGGCACGGGAACAACGGATTGTGTAATTGGCAGGAGCCTGTATGGGTGGCTACATCCTAAAGTTTTTTCTTGTATCTTTTCTTCTAAAATCCAATTTCCACAAATTTTTCTTTTTGGTTTGTCTTTTAGCCTTTTTGTCCCCCTCCTTTTCCTTTTCTATTAATATAATTTATTCATTTCATTACCAGCTCCATGTGCTTTGTGGTTGGCAGTTATTTTCGTTATTTGAAGATGGCCCCCCTTCTCCCCACTCTTTTGCACAAGTTCCCATGAAATTCTTGATATACCAGCATATTGGGTTCGATAACCAAGCAACAAATTTACCACCGCCTTAAGAAGAATGAGTATGCTGGATCATAAATAAAACCAGATCTCAAGCGGACAAACTTCAAATTTCATCAGTTTTGCCATCAACACCGCATATATATGAGGGTGAATTTGATGCAAAATTATGGTACATTAAAAGTTTTCAACAAGCAAAAAGAGCCTGTACTAGTACCAACATGTATGATTGATGACCTACCTAAAACCAATTTCAAAAGTGGCAATGCTATTGTAATGATTGTAATGATTTTGTATGTGACTCATTCGAAGCCCCAACGTCAAAGGAACCAACCAAGACTTTGTCAATAAATACTGTATTGTGGTTTCCTTTTCATCACTCATGCCTGCATGCTCCTGGGAACGAAGCCATATATATCAAGATTGAGCTCATTGGCTATGGATGACGGATGACTCATCATCAGTACGGGAAACATTTGTGTGTTTTTGCATGCAAACAAGATTACCGGGATTAAGATACATGATTAATCTTGCAGAATACTTGCAACCCAGCGCATTTGTTTGTTCCTGTACATGGACAAGGTATGCATAAAAACAATATGAAACGTCAAATTCAAAGCTTGATTAGCTTTGTTTGTTTTGCTAATTTTTTTTTTTGTACGGAGAAGACAAAAACCTTAGTTTAATTAGCTTAAGTAGTAGAGAATTATTGAGGAAATTGCCGCCGCATATGCTTCGACCCTTGCTCTAAAATCGAACCAGGATTTGGGTTCAGCCCTTTTTAGTGGTTAATGCGTATTTCTATGCACAAGACAGCAGGTTTTTCAACCTTTTACAGCTCTCTTGTCTAGAGAATTTTGTGCATAACAACCACAACTTCATAGAAAATGACAACCACTATGGTGTTGGATGCCGAGGAAGATCCAATTTCTCTTCTTTTAAATAAGACAGGAGCCGCCCTTGCTACCGAGAATATTGAATCAGAAGAGTCATTATAGATTCCGGATGAAATTGACGTCTTACTTCTGAAGTATTGGCCTGGTGGATGATGGTTTATTACCTTTTCCATTAATTTCTTTTTTCTTTGCTTTTCTTCTTTCTGTATCACAGAGTGGAGAGAAATCGCCACTGTACCAACGCTTTTCACGCTAAAAGGTGATTATAGTTGTGCATTGACTAAGTATTTTCGTAGATATTTTCATCTGAAGAATAAACAGCAACAAGATAAGTTCAGTTTGACTAATTACTCCACACTATGGTACTTGTTTACCTACCGCGCGCAACGGGATGCAAATTGCATATGGTACTTTTTTTTTTTTTTGTCGACACAGTGTCCGGATCAATTCTTACAGGATCGACTAATCCTCTATGACTCGAGCTCGACGTCTCAACTCGGCCCGAACACGTTAAGTGCGCGGAGGAATGCATATGGTACTTGTTTACCATATTAGTTCACTACGTGTAAACTGTATTTCAGCTGTATGGCCGGCCAGCTGCTTACTTTTCAAACTTCAGTACATGAAATTATTATTTTTTTCTTTTTTTCTAAATCATTTTTTCATTTTTTTTTATTGTGACTACTGGCTGAACCTTGTGCCCTTTTCTTTTTGTAATCTTCTTTTGATGCCCTTTAAATACAAACTATATATATATATAAGACATGTACAGTTCACATGAAATTCTGTTCCTCGATCTTTCTAAATTAATTTTCATTTTTTTTGTTAAAATCCTAATGTAATAAATGGCTGAACCTTGCACCTCCTTTCTTTTTCTTGTTCCGTCTTAATCTTCTTTTCCTGTCATTCTTTTCTCCTTCTGGATTCAGTAGCTGCAGTACCCATTTGATCATATCTTTCTGTTTTGCAGCACAATGGAAAACAACTTTAGCAACTCAACACTTGCACAGGCTGATTTCACTTGCCAGTAGGTCCAGCACTTGCATTTTAAAAGTGGCAAAAATGACAGAGGTGTTTGCAATTGCATGAGATGAACTTCTCTTTTCCGTAACAACATATATTTGGACGAATGGCTTAGTCTGACTTTTATCAAGCATGAGCATTTACAGCTGAACATACGGCCGACTAGTTGGTCCCCGCCCCAATCGCCTTGAACACTAATGTTTATACCTATCAAGTTGCCTTTTATAAATATTTCGTATTTAACCATGTACAATTTTTTTTTTTTTAATGGGATGCATATCCTATATATTAGTCATAGAAGCGATGTATTGGGTGGTATGACAGGAGGGAGCGTAAGTAAGAAGTTTCGGATTCAAAACCTCCTACTTACATTAAAAAAAAAAATCCTATATACTAGTAAAATTATTATACAATGTTTGGTGTTCTAAGAACACAAACTATGTATAATTGAAAACAAAAAAGAATAAATGATCAACTATTAATTAATGCGTTAGAATTACCACCGACCCCTGAATTTCGATAATCAATGGTAGAAGACCAGGTCCCCTACACTCAATGGTAATGCGGGCATGAGCCAAATGCAACACGATCGAATAGAAGGCCAAGAAAGATTTTTATTCATGGAGGAAGAAGCCAAGAAGAAATGATCAAAGTTTCTCTTGGACAGGAAATCTATTTGTTTAGCATTTACAGAGATCTAGAATTGGCTACGTGTTTAAATGGGATTGCAGTTGGTTTTCCAGTGAGCTCAAGAGTCAGGGAAGAATGCAGGCTGGCATTCCTGTGAGCTCGATTAGCTTCCCGTCAAGCCAGCAGAAACCGTCGGCACTATTTTAGAATTATAACTGAGTTGCAAATCTTGATGATTAAGGTCAATTTATCTCCATTTACTTGGTCGTAATAATTTGGAGAATTGAATTCCAAGATATTTTTTAGGGGCATGAAGGAGTTTACACTTGAATTAAAAATTCTAGTGTTCTAATGAGCTAAAAATCGCATTTTTATTTACCGGTCAAATCAAACTCATGCAACACAATCTTGTAACACACCGGCATCGAGTCTGAATTTAAATAGTTTGAGTTTTTTTATCTGATAAATTTCGGTTGTATTTGGATTGCATTTTTTATGATTTTTCATGAAAAAATTACTGTAGCGATTTGATGTATATGAGAAAAAAATGTAATAGGAAAATGTGATCACAAAAAATAACGTACGGAAAATTGCAATCCAAACAAGGCCTTCAAATTCAGCGCTTGTCGAATTGAATTGGAACCTAGTCTCAAAAACTGAGGCCTTGTTTGGATTGCGATTTTCTGTCGGAAAATTACGTCGTTTTCCGTGATCACATTTCCCTATTACCTTTTTCCCTCACATACATCAAATCGCTACAGTAATTTTTCTATGAAAAATCATGAAAAATGCAATCCAAATACAACCTGAGCTTTTGCTTTGCGAACTCAATTCAAGTAGTAAGTAGGTTGGTTTATCATCCAATCCTACTCATAACAAGGTTTTGCCTCTTAAGTCGAAAAATCAGTAAACATGATAGATATCCTTAGCTTAAAATAGATTGGTTGAGGATAGAAATTCGGTTATTGCATGGAAGAGACAGGATGACTAGATGTCACTACTACTAGCTAGATACAGTATGTTATAAGGTTCGCATTATTGGACCAACCAACTTAATATAGATTAATATGCGGAATGAGGACGGTATACCCCTTTCATAACTCACAGTTTTTTGTATGAGTGTTTCGATAAATGGACTCTGCGAAGACACTTCAAAAGCCGGCAACTTTTGAAGTGCTCCGCAGCACTTAACTACTAAACCCCCCAAACCCCCCCAAGCGATGTGGGAACTTAACCCCACAGGGTGCCCCGCTGCTAAGAGATAAAGACCCCCCAGACTCCCCGAGACAGAATGAGGACGGTATACACAGACCTTGAGATTGATTGTTAAATGCGATATCTATAAACTGATATGGCGTGTCTGACGGGAAAGATTTGTACCAGAAGGCCGTACAGGTTTGGATTGTACAGTAACAGTAACCCCTGTCCTGGGGCGGTGGGCCGGTGGGTGGGTGGGTGGTGGGCGCGCATGCATCCATCAAAACTGTTGCCCACTGCTATGCTGGCTTGGCGATCATCAGACATCAGTGCCCAGCACACGATCTGGAAGATTGACAACATCCATATGGGGGATCGCATTTGCATCATTGCACTGAGAACTGAGATGAGGAGGAGGTGTTTGCATGTGAAAACGAAGCAATTTGCAATTTGCAATTTGCAACTTGCAACTTGCAACTTGCCCTGACCGCTCCTCTGGATTGCTAGGCTTGTTGTACCCGTCGCTGCCTTTCTTCCAAAGATCTTCCGTAAGCTGTTAAAAGTTGAGGAGGACAATAATGATTATTCGCGCTTGTATTTACCTATACGGTGAATAAGTGTAATTTAAGTATACCGATCGACATGTCTTCACTGGGAGGAGGACAATGATGATTTGCGTTTGTATTTACCTATACGGTGAATAAGTGTAGTTTAGGTATACCGATCGGGTCCCACGTGAATGGTCCAGCGGCAGCGCCTCTCACCATGAACCTTAAGGTCACAAGTTCGAGTTTCCGCTCCGCTGAATTCCTCCTCGTACTTAACGTATTCGGGCCGGATTGGGGCGCCGGACCCGGGTCGCAGGGGATTAGTCGGGCCCATAAAGATTGATTCGGACACTCTTGTGTCGGAAAAAAAAAAAAAAAAAAAAGGGTATACCGACCGACATGTCTTCACACCGCGCTAAAAATTTCTTTTTCCCTCTCTCCTTTTTCGGTCAATTAAAAGTGAAGATCTTCATGTTTACCACCACCAACTTGGACAAACCCTCCCTCCCTGGAAAATCTCAGAATATTTGTTATAATTAATA